TGTGGAACAATCTTTTAAAAGATATTTCTTCATATTTCCTTTTGTAACTGCTACATGACACTTTTCTGTCTGAGACTCTTCTAATGCAACGTTGATTTAAAGATGCATGCTATATTTTGTAACAAGATTAAAAATAAATTAACTTTCGATTTGATTGGAACATAATAAAAAATTTTAAATTCTGGTTCTATTATCTCCACAATGATATAAATATACAATTAACTAACTTTGTTTTAGTGGTTATTTATATTTTGGTCTTATTCTATTTTATGCTAAAGGTTCAATTTTCGACATGTGCAGTGCAAAATTAATGTATATTATTTGTATTAAAAAATATTTATAATCCTTCTTAAATTTTCTCTTACACAAAAATTTTTCAACTTTTAAAAAATAAACAAAAAGTAATCTATTTTTTATTATACTAAATCCCCATTCTCTTAAATTTTTAAATCTTAGATAAAACATATGCAAGTGAATAAAAATCAATCACAACTTTCACAAATATTTAACTTTAACCAGACCTAGCATCATATATGGTGTTAGTTTAATTAGTCAATACATGGAGAATCCAACTGAGAATCATCTCTCTGGTGCAAAAAGAATTTTTTGTTACTTAAAAGGAACAGTTGATTTTGGAATTCTTTATGTAGCTAAAACCATAGAAAAATTTATTAGATTCTCTAATAGTGATTTTGCAGGTGACTTGAATGATAGGAAAAGTACATCTGAATTTATTTTTCTGATGGGTTATGGGGCTGTATCATGGACATCGAAGAAATAATAAATTGTTACTTTATCTAGTATAGATGTCGAGTTTATTGTAGTAGCAACATGTTCATGTCAAGCTATCTAGTTGAGAAGATTGCTTGAAACACTCCATACTAGCAGCAAGGTTTAACAACAATCTTTTGTGATAATGTTTCAAGAATTAAACTTTCAAAAATCTAACATTACATGGAAGAAGCAAGCACATTAATATTAGGTTCCATTTTCTTCGTGATCTTTGCAACAATGGAATAATTGATTTAAAGTTTTGTAAAAGTCAAAATCAGGTGACAGATATTATGACTAAACCACTCAAGCACGCTATGTTTGTTAAACTTTAAAGGATGTTTATGTATATTCATCAATGGAAGTAGCTCAAGACATAGCTTAACTTACCTAGCTCAAGAAGTTAAGTTTTAAACTGATTTATGCATATATTAGTTTAAGGGAGGGTACTAACAGTAACTTACTTATTTACTAAAGATATTTTATTTTTTAAATATTTTTATGTTTAATACTTTAATAGTTACTAAGTTTTAGTATTTCAATTTATGTTAGTAGAATTTCAGTTTATGTTAGTGGGAGTTCAATTTATGTTAGTGGATTATTACTTCCTATTTTATAGAAATTACGGGTTCATTGCTTACTGATTTCAATGCCTATTTATAGACTAATTTGTTATCAATTTAGATAAGCTTTCACGTTCAGTTTCTGTCTTTTTGCTCTATCACTCTTATTTTTGCAATCTATTAAATTTTAATCGATAATGATATTAGAGTTATAAGTTTTTAGTTCATCTGAGAAAAGTAGTACATTTCTTTTACTGAAACTATTATTGTTAATGGCATTTGACAGTTTTGTACAACCTGGAATCCTCGTTTCAATGGTCAGTATAATCATTAGAGCATGTTGACGGAAAATTTCCTTAGATCTAAGGAGTACTGGTAAGT